TAACCAACTTAAAATTATACGGTAATAAATAGAACTATTCAAATTAAATTTTAGTTCGCTGATTCTATTTGTCAGCATTCTTAGGATTTATTATGCTAATACAACTCCTTTACGAAAGTAATCCTCCTTGTTAAGGAATCTTTTCGTACATATTTCTTGCTTCAATATGTTGACGCTTTAACTCATCCATTTTGCTTGTTTCTTGGATCATAATACGAATATTAAATAATTTGACTTGCTCAGTAAGACTTTCAACTTTCTGCAAAACCTTCTCATACATCAGTAGAGATCCCTAAAAGTTACTTTAATATATGATACGAGATAAAGAGTTAAAGTGTTAATGTTACAATTTAAATCGAACTGGATCATAATCTGGTTTAAAAACCCATTGCCTCATTTACCCATATTTATGTTTAGAATATTTTAGAGCTAAATCTTGATAGCTAAACTTTTATCTAAAAGTCTTGCTTCCAAAATTATTTCCAACATCATAATCTAAGCCATTTTGCCGGTATATTCATTTTAAGTAAAGTCGCTTATATTATATTAATAGTAATATCTAGACAAATAAGCTTATGCAAACACAAATCCACAAATATAGAATAAATAAATAAATAATTTTATGGCTTTATAATAGCCAAAATTAATCACGAGATCAGACTCTTTTCTAAAAGTATAACTATAGAAGATATCAAAACCAATTCCAAATAAATACTACCACATAGTGTATAAAGTTCTTTTAGCTGCTAGGCTCATGCAATAATCATCATTAGAGTTATTGTTAAAAATAAAATGTTGGAGGCCATCCCATTTCTAAATATGCTTTATTTTGGCCTTCTACTCATTACAATAATCGTACTTTTTAAATTTAACTCTGTTGCAAGTCCTGGTTTCTATTTAGAATGTCCTTCTTATTATGCAAAATAAGCAGTAGAATTTTTTTCGAATATCCTAAAACTGCTTAAGGATAGGTTTGAATTTTCTTAAAAAATGGACAATATTTGAGGAATCTAAATCATTTGTATCCTTTAACGCGTGATAGCAGGAAAATTCTCACTATTATACTTGTATAACAATTGTATATCAGGCAATACCTTGAAAATTTATAAGGATTGTTTAACATAGGAAATACCCTTATTTCCCCCTCAAAAAATTAATGGAAGCATTCAGTCAGCTATCTTGGATATTATAAAAAATTTGCTAAAAGAAGACAAAAGGATGATTAATATATAAAGGTGCGAATTCGCAACAGATAAAGCTAGCTTAGGAATAACTAACTATTAATCTGATTTTGCCAACACAAACATTTAATTTTTTGTGCTTCCTCTGCTGGGTACATGTATGAACGAGCGAAGGCACATAAACAAACAGATATGTATGCAGGTTCCTGAAATATGTCTTAAACTAAGCAGATCACTCTATGTATGATCAAAAAGCTTAGATATAGGGTATGTAGACAGCATTTCGGGGATAAGCTGATGAAGTTTCTTGACTAGTTAACTTGAGTATGCTTATAATAATGATACTTTACTCTGATGATTGCCATCATATGACAGACAAAGCTTTGCAATTTCTCACCAGAATCGAAGGAGATGGCATGGAAGCAGCATCAAAAATAATGCTCCAGTATGACCTAAAGACAGTTGGAAAAGAGCAATACTCCATTGTCACCGGGTTAGATCAAACTGCGAATCTTTTTATCTAACTCTTTTACTCTGAATATAAATAAGATGCACAATAATAAATCACGAGATTCAACCAAACCCAACATTGTTTTGCATAATTCTGAAAAGCCTAGAATATTCATTCTTGCTCCAAATACATTTCATTGGCATTGGTTGATGAAAGTTCTTATTCACACACCCAGCAAAGGGATATCTTACATCAGCCTTAACTCAAGAACAACGATATATTTTTTAAGAGAAATTTGTACAGTCTATACGTGCTTATCACAAGGGATCCTACAAATAACAGTTTTGGTAGTATTACATTGAATTGGCTTCATTTTATGAAAAAGTTTAACTTGATATAATTCCTTTCACGTTTTCCATATGGAATATATATGGTGATACTAAATAAGCTCAGCATATTCACTTATTCTATTTATATTGCTTAAGCCTGACTGAATTATTTAGAATAGAAAAATTTTGAATTTAATTTGAGTTGATGAAAGTTAGCTAACTAAGAGTAGAGCATTTCTATATCTTACAATTAAAATCAAAATAAATGCCTAGTTTATCAAAAATGGATTATCCTTAATTAAAGGTAATGAAGTCTGCCAGCTATAATTAAATAGAATGCTAAGCCATCTGTAATTTAGGTAAACAGGTGTTTAATAATATATCATATACCAGGAATGGAGGCCTTCCGTTTTATGCAGAGACACTGATAATATTCTTAACTTTGTTATTTGCCTTTTAAAACCGCTATTATTCAAATAACTAAATCACTATATATAAGAATGAATATCAATTTCAATTAATTTAATTTATGCAATTTAGCAGATAATTTATTTCTCTATTTTAATATTTTTATTAACTTTAACCAATTTAGACTGATTTGCGTTTTTTCTTTGGCGTTTGGTCAAATTCACGCGTTCCGCTCTTGCCCTTTCACTAGTTTACCTATTCCTATTTTATTATGTCGGGTTTCAATGCGGGCCCTGCTCACCTACCTGGGGCCAAGTAATCAATACATTTATAAATATTTTCAGTACTGGCGAGTTAACTGCCGCGAAAATTCGGGAATTGATGGAAGCAGCCCAGAAGACTATCGCTGAAAGAAAGCAAGCTCTTGGTTTAGATGTAAGGTTTACTCTTTTATATCCTGTAGCCAGCTATTCCCAAAGCCTCATTTGGAGTACCACATGGTTTGATTGCTGATCCTATAACGGCTGAGAAAGCCAGAAGGGCTGCTGAACTTCATGCAAAAATTTCCGCTAAATTTAACTCTGGAATACTTGATCACATCCCTCCGCCCCCCACTCTTGCGTCCGACATGTAGGTATCGCCTTTTAAAAATAATTATTTATAGGAAGCCGAAAGAGTCAATCAAGTAGGTGGATGTTATCCTAATTGATTAGGAGTGTCATATTTGATGAGCATGGCAAAACCATCGATCAAGCTACAGGAGAAGAAATTAAGCTTAATCACTATACTCCTACCCTGAAGGTTTTAAATTTTTTATAATTCTTAATGGATAGGCTAACCTCCGGGCAAGACGAGCCCAGCAGTTCAAAGATGTAATGCAAACAACTGCTCAAAAAAAGCCGCAAAAGGTTCCCATTTCCTTCGCTCACTATGATCCCAGAATTTCGTAGGATATTTTTTAATTTTAT